AACCCTTGTGGTAGAAACTGACAAATATTGGGGTGCAACACCTTACTTAAATTTGTTTGTAGATCTATGCCCCTGCGTTAGTTTTAAATAAGGATAGAGAACCTGGGAAACTTACTAAATACCTAACTTGGGCTAATAAAACAGACTTGTTACACTCATGTAACATGCAATGTCCAGACAAATAAACCATGTTTTGGTTTAACATGATGTCTCATGTTACTATAACATACTAAGACAATGGTTGGGTTCCCACAACACCTTGCTGTTGTTTAATCATTCAGTCACTTCCAACTTTTTGTGACCTGATGGACATCATTTCTCCAGTAACTGCTTGGCTGTCAGTAAGTGCTTCTTTGAGACCTTGTAAGCTCCGGCTTGTGTCTTCAGAAATAGTATATAGCCACCTTGTTTTCTGTCAGTCTCTTTTTCAATTGCCTTTGATTTTTCAAAGCACCAAAGTCCTCCCCAATGAATCTTGCATTCCCATTTAGTGTTCAAAATATCTAAGCTGTAGCTTCATTATTAGCACATCCAGTGATATACTAGGTTTTACCTCATCTAATGTTCAATTATTTCCCTCAAGATGTTGAACCACAAGTAATCCAACCTCATTTTAGTCTAATCCACATATTATATGAACTGAGCTACAGAATGTGAGTGAAAGAGAGGAGGGGGAAGATTTGTAGATGGAGTTTGCTGAAATTGGAAAGACAGCCATGGGTAAATTGCTCACATTGTTTTGTGAGATATCTTCTGCCTTGCGATGCTTCTTTGCCTCTGCTTCTTTGGCCTGTGCAAGACAGCTTTGATTCATCTCAGTGCAGCCTTTCTCACAGTAGAGGCAACACAGGGCTCCTCATTGGGGCACAGAGGCAATAGATCTGCCTCGACAAGATCATTTATGTTCTCTCAAAGTCTCAACAGGCAGTTCCAAATTCCTGGAAGAGTCAGAAGTCTCTCTCACTGCTTCCAGTAGCTGACCGACTGCCGCCTCCAGCAACTGGAACTGATGGAAGCGGGAGTCAGAGAAGCAACCCAATTGCGTTGCTCTGCTATTAGAAGCAAGGGGATGCATTGTTTTGCAAAGCCATTTCCAGGGACCGTTTTGCTCATGCCTTCTCAGAATGAAGCAACTCCTTCTGCTTATGTTCTGCGCGCACAACGTACAAAGATGTCTAAGGAGAAAGTTAAAAGGATTCCATGTCAACCTTCAGTGGAATTAGATCTCCAGTTTGTTCATTGGTGGCCTCTCCAGGGTGCAGATTGATACCTCAGGCTTGGAATCCACAAGTGAGGGCTTACAGTATGACTTTCCCCAGTAACAGGTTCTGCAAAGTAACTATGAATGGCTATATCTATCTTGAACTTCTCACCCCACACAGACACAGCAGGTTCCCTTGTGTTTTGCACAAAAAGCCCATGAAAAATTTACTGATGCTTGGTAACTTCTGCAAGATCTGCAATTCCTACTGGCTATGAAAGAATGTATATAGCTGCTGTCATGAATTCAAAAAAGCAAGGTGAGGAAAGGAAATAATTTCTGGGATGCTGCAAGCTATTGGCTCACCTTTACAGAAGGTGATCTCAGCTGGTGGCCGGGCATCTTTCACTTGGCAGCGCAGGGTGTATTCGGTGCCAGCAATCCAGGTCACCGTGCTGTTAGCCTCATACTCTACAAAAAGTGGCCTTTTCGGGGGGACTGCAAAGAAAAGAAGCAACGTGAAGGATTGGCGTATGATTGTTTTAAAATTGTGTTTTTAATTTATTTTTTTAATGTGTATGCTATCTTTGAAACCAGAGCTTTTCTAAGATGGCTTACGAGTTTCTAACTGGACTGGACTAGAGGAGAAAGGGTTTTCTGCACAATTTCTATGGGCGCTCCTACAAATCACATTCACGCAGAAACACAGAAGAGCTAATAAAGGTTAAATTAGGTTAGGTTAGATTAGATTAAAGCAGGGACAGGCAATCTTTTGGTGGCTGCAGCTGCATTTTTGAAATCACTTTTTTTGGCAAGCACAGCGATGAGGTAATGTTTGGATGTGTTCCACCTAAAGGGTAGGTGAGCATAATGTGAATAGGTGTGTTAAGCCCATCAAAATTTCACATGTCTACTTTATTTGTCTCCTACCAAAAATGTGTAATGTCATCTTAAAGGACTCTGGGGCAGCCAAAAAAAAAGGGTTTGCCCGCAGGCTATTGATTGCTCATCCTGAATGAGTCTCTTCAGTTCCACATCCTTTGCTCATCTAAAAATATCCCTCCAATGAATGATGCAGAAGATTTGAATATTTTCTGGAGGAGATTGAGAAGGAGAAGGTGATATATTGAACTGTCCATTGTACTGAACTTACTTCTGTCAAATCCTGGAAGAGGACACTCTAGTACTGATTTGGATAGGAGAGCAAAGACGCCAAAGCTCCTTAGATGCCCTCTGAAGGTTGTGCTCGCTCCACAGATTTATCCGCTTATTCAATTAACCAAGATTCTGGCTTCTCGTAATACATTGAATGACCCATAAATTAGCCAAATGTCCTGCACGACACACCAGGCCACAAAAATTAACCTATGTTAAAATGAGCCAAGCTTAGCATATTGTGCAGATTCGGCCCACTAGGTCTGTAACCGACCTGGTTAAGCATGTTGTCTGAATACAGGCTATTGCAGTGTTGTCCAAACTTGGCCACTTTAAGATGAGTGGACTTTGACTCCCAGAATTGCCACTTTAAGATGAGTGGACTTTGACTCCCAGAATTGCCACTTTAAGATGAGTGGACTTTGACTCCCAGAATTGCCACTTTAAGATGAGTGGACTTTGACTCCCAGAATTGCCACTTTAAGATGAGTGGACTTCAACTCCCAGAATTGGCTGGCTGGGGAATTCTGGGAGTCAAAGTCCACTCATCTTAAAGTGGCCAAGTTTGGACAACACTGGGCTATTGTGTTTTCTCTTTATCTCTCATATTAACAATCATTCCTCCTGTCTAGCTGAGTGCCTGAGATCTTTCTAATGTAGTCTAACTCCAGCTATACTTACCAAGGACTGTCAGATGCACTCTACGGGAAATGATGCCGCTAGTTTTCTCTGAGGGTCCAACCTGGCACTCATACAAGGCATCGTCTTCCAATTGGCTCTTTATTACTCGCAGGTTATATATCCCTAAAGCATCAAGACACACGGGTAAATGTAAGCATACTTGGTTCATATCCGTTCTCCTTGTGAGTTACACCATAGCATAGGGCTGCCCATTCAGAGCTCGAGGCAGATTCCTCTCCAATCCCAACAGGACATTATATTTCTAACTGTGAAGTAAGTGAAGTAAAACGTTGATTTCTAAAATGGGAGGTGAGGGGCATAAGAACATTAATCGAGTATCTAAAATAATGGATTGCATTACTGGGACTCATTTTCTCATTTAAAAAGCAAATAGGCCCATTCTTTTCCAGTATTCATAACTTCTAAGTAAAACTTAGGAAAATCTTCCCACCCTTTTCTCGTTCTCCCATCTGTCTTCCTTGAAACTCTGCTTCACCAAAGTCATGTGAGTATAGGCAAAGATGGCTTTACAAAAACCTTCACGTCAGGGCTATCTGCAAGGAAAGTCAGAAAATTCAAGAGGGTGGCTGTGACTGTGCGATCAAAGCCACCATAGTATGTGTTGAGAGCATCACTTCTGAATGGAGTCTTCACTCTTGCCTAATACAATCTCACAATCTGGCTGTGAAGATATGTAGATGGTTTGCATATTGCCTAGAGAGAGAAGAGCTTTTGGGGGTCTGTAAGCACAAAGTCAGAATGGGATTCTTTTTTCTGGTTGCCTTGATTAAAGGCATTGGGGTGTCCCCCAGAACTTAGTCACTCATGACTGCTGCCACAGTTGGTGGCCCAATTAAGCAATGATTAAGAGGACTCTGAGGGATGCAGCAAAGCTTTGGATAGGCCTCCAGGATCAAGGCTCTCAGATGGGAGAATGAGGCAGTGCACACTAGTCAAGTGAACACCTGTCAAGTGAATTCCATATGATTCACATCCAAGGGTTCACAACTTTAAAATAAATAAAAATATATAGAACTACTAAAATGAACTTTAAAAAAATAATAAAACACACAAAAAATAAAAACACATAGCAGCCAGAGAGTCATAAAAGGCCTTCAACAAAGGCAGGAAACAGGCTTCATCCCACGCTGGGGGGGCCCAGGCTTGAGCACAGTACAACAACTTTTCAGCCTTCATTGAAACTTGTTTGAAGCCAGTTTGTATCCCTCCAAAGATCTCACCTTTGCTGGCCTCACCCATCATGCTGTAACGGGGGAACCGAGGGATGTTCTGGTTGGGGCCCAGTAAAAGCCCATCCTTTGCCCACTGCACAAGGCCAGACGGGTTTTCCACCTCACACTTCAGCAGAGCTGTCTCCCCTTCAGGGATGGTGACGTTATCTGGCTCCACACGGAAAACTTGCTGAAGCGTCTCTGCTTGGCAACCTACCAGACCCAAAACATAGATGAATCTCAGCAGTTGGGCTGCTCACTCAAAGCCAGCCAGCTCTGTTCCAAGCTCAAACTGTGTAAGAATGTTCACTTCTGAAAAGCTGAGAAAGCTTGCTTAAAGAGAAGGAAGGAGAACATTGGAAATGTGGGGGAAAAACACGATGCTAAAAAATTATTCCTTTGGTCTGACAGCTGGGTCACACTTCTCCCTGCCACTATCTGATGGGACATTTTGCTGCTGGAGAAAGATAAAAAAAATTACACAGATGGGCATTCACGCCTGTCCAATGCAGACTTACATTGTGTTCCTTTGCTTATCGTTTTAAGTAATATTATCTGCTGTAGACACTCACACTGGTAGCTAGGTTGGTGTAGTGGTTAAAGGCACTGGACTAGAAACTGGGAGACTGTGAGTTCTAGTCCCGCCTTAGGTACAAAGCCAGCTGGGTGACCTTGGGCCAGTCCCTCTCTCTCAGCCCTAGGAAGGAGGGAATGGCAAACCACTCCTGAAAATATTGCAGAGAAAACTGCATGGATTTATCACATCTCTATCTATCTATCTATCTATCTATCTATCTATCTATCTATCTATCTATCTATCTATCTATCTATCTATCTATCTATCTATCTATCTATCTATCTATCTATCTATCTATCTATCTATCTATCTATCTATCTATCTATCTATCTATCTATCTATCTATCTATCTATCTATCTATCTATCTATCTATCTGGTATAAATGCTTCCCCTATGCCTCTTATTGGAGCCGAAACACAGAATAGTGTTCCATCCTTCTGCTGGGATCCCTCTGCTGAACCTTCTTACCTTCTTTGTTCAAGTCCAGGATGAAGTAGAGGACCAGGGGAACAAGCAAGCCCCAAGATGCCATTCCTACTTGCTGATGCTCCAGAGGTGAGAAGCCAAGGGTCCCAGGTGTTGCAATCCTGCAAACAGTTGTCAGGCAAGAAGTGACTGACCAAGTAGTGGACATAAGAGCAGTTGGCAGACTCTGGTTGTGTTAGCAGAACATACGTTTCCAGATTTGTGCAATATATTGAAGAAGAACCAAATGGCCTGAGTTCACATAACATGATTCATGAAAGAGAGAGGGAGAGAGAGAGAAAGAGAGATCCTCAAAGTTAACAGTAACTAAGCTCAACCTTTTCTGTGAATGCAGCTGCTAAATCTTTAACTAACCTAGCTAAGCTTGTTGTATAAAAACACCCTTTGAGTGGAGAGAAATACCTCTTAGATAACTGTAGTGATCCCATTGGGATCTTTCAGAACAATGTCATTTTGCACCGCTCTTGTTTCTGATGTTTCTGTTATTAATAAGAAGATCAGGTACATGCAAGCAAATAGGCTTCCCAGAGTCTCTCTGTCTTTCTATCATAACATTAAAAACACCTGATTAAATCTGAATAAATTGACAGACACTTCTGCTGCAGGTTTCTGGAGAGCAACGGGCTGTGATTCCCAAACCGTTCCTTTGTTTCTTTTGGAGATGACAAGTGCACTGAACAGTTGAAAGGATGTAAACCAAGAGGAATGAAGAAGGCTGGAATCTATTATAGGTTTCTGTTGTCCAGAGTGGAAAGCAAATGAATCTTTACACTGTTTTAAGAACTGTATTGTCAGCTTATTTTTTTTCACCCTGCTCTTGAGTCTTAAACAGCCATCTCATTCACAGAGACTTGGTGTATTCAAGCTGCAGTGTTACATACACTTATTAAGGCATAAGCCCTATTGAGCACAATGGAACTAACTTTTGATTACTACATATATTTACAACTGTGCAGTAGGTTGTTACTTATTTTTACTCTGGGGAGGGGAGACAACACTTCACCTGCTAATTTCCTTTGGATAATTCTTTATCAGAAGCAGAGGACAAGCTAATGAAGAAGAAACATTCAGCTCTGTCTAGATTGCCCTTGAACCCTCTTTATTTAAAACTGTGCAGTAGGGTTTCACTTAGCCCCAAGCTAGGGAGGAAAAGAATGTCTCTGCAAGGTTTGTAGCTGACCTGGTTAAGTGTGTTGCATGACAAGACAGCCTCTGATTCAGCGGATAGAAGTAGAGTTAAAGCTAAGAGAAGACTACACACCATTTAAAAGAGGAAAATATCAACTGAAAACCATAATATAATCCATAATATAACCATAATATAGTCCTACAACCCCCAGAAATTTGGCCATGCCAGCTGAGAATTCTTGATGTAGATAAACACATCTGGAGGGCAGCTAGTTGGGAAAGACTGTTCTCCAATATTCCAAGAATGGCCATCTGGAATCCTATGAACAAGGGTGGTTGTAATACAGTACTATTCCCCACAACTAGTATTCAGGAGGAATCTGCTATCCTTGAGCATGGAACTATCTTGGGTCTGAGTCCAACCTTTCTGAACCAACTTGGACCTCCACTTTGTTTCTTTGTAGTCTTTCCAGGTGAAGGAGAATTCATAGGAACCCTGGATGGGTGAAGCTACTCCAAAGCCAGGGAGCATACATTCATACATCAAGGGGAGAAGCGGAGAGAAAGAGACTTCTTGCTGCATGCAAGAAATGCAGAAATACAGCATCCACTCCCTGGCTTCTGTTTCTGCTTAAAGATCTCAGCAAGGGAGAGGTTGGTATCTCCTGAAGATCCCTGGTCACTGGATCCATTCCCAAACTTCCTCCACTATTAAGAAGTTTCTCCAGCTCAAGTCAACTTCCCTGTAACTTAAGCCCAATAAAACTAGCACTGCCTTTTTATGCAACTGTCTTCAAGAACTGAAGAGTTCTGTTGACCCTTTTAATGTTCTTTGGAAGCACCATCCCATTCTTCCCTCATTCTTACCTTCTTTAGTGTATTAGAAGCTGCAAAAGATCGTTCACAGCTATTCCAGAGGTGGGACTGCCAAGTCAGTGAGATGGCTGGCATTCCAGTTCTGTCCCTCCTCCACATACCCTGCTGTATGATCTGCCCACTTCTAGCCCTTACAAGAATGTAAGAACATTTAAAAAAATAAGAGGTACAACCTATGCCATGAGAGAAACTTTGCCTTGGCTGGAGCTGTTGAACCTATCATAGCAGCTCCTCCTCCTCCTTCATCATCACCATCATCATCATCACCATCATGATTTTGTTTTTATCTTTAGAAGTAACCTTAAATTGGAACGATCAGTTCTGCAAAGGTCCTTATCCACTTTCTTTGCATTCAGAAATTCAATCATCAAAATATGAAGGTACAATTTCCCAGTTTTTCCATGCAGAAAAAAATAGTAAAAGGGATATAAACCAACAAAAATCACAGTAAGTCATAAGATTCTTTGTCTGGGTTTGGTCTAGCCCAGTTCTAAGCTCAGCATGTTGCATGAAACTAGGTAATTGTGATGTAATTAGGAAGCCAAGGTCTAATAGATCATGACTAAGCATGATGTATACTCCTAGTCATTCTTATTTTCCACTAAGCAGTTGCTAGTTTTCCTTGGTGAACCCTTACCATAATAGAAATTCCTGATTATGCAGCTGTTATATCACAAGATAGATAGATAGATAGATAGATAGATAGATAGATAGATAGATAGATAGATATAATTTTATTAAGGAATTTTAAAAAGGGAGATAAAAACTAATACAAACTAATATAAAGCAAGAAAAAGAAAAAAGAAAGAATCAAAGAGAAAACTAAAAGTACAAGGGAAAAAAAGAAAAATAGAAAAGAAAGAAAAAAGATACAAAGAAGTGGCTTCCAATCTTCTTTACAACAGTTATAAGTACAATTATAAATGTACCTCTGACTCTATGGTTACAACATGACTCTCTTCTTTCTATAATTTATCCTGTCTAATCATCAAATCCATAAATCATAACTTCATTTTTTTCTATTTCACGCAAAAAGTCCATAAGGGGTTTCCAGTCAGCAATAAATGTAGACACTGTCTTTTCTCTGATCAAAGAAGTCGATTTAGCCATCTCAGCAAGTTCCATCATCTTCACCAACCATTCCTCCATTGTGGGTAGTGC